TATTCCAGGTCCAGAACTTCAGGAATGCTGCCAGAGTTTGGTTATTCCACATGCAGAGCTTTGGGAATGATGCCAGAGTTTGGTTATTCCAGGTGCAGAGCTTCGGGAATGCAGCTGGAGTTTGCAGAGCTTCAGGAATGCAGTTGTAGTTTGGTTATTCCAGGTGCAGAACTTCAGGAACCCTGTCAGGAGTTTAGTTATTCTGGGTGTAGAACTTCAGGAATGCTGTCAGAGTTTGGTTATTTGGGGCCAATTTGTTTATTCCAATTGTAAAACTTCAGGAATACTGTCTGTTTGGTTATTCCAGGTGCAGAACTTCAGGAATGCTGTTGGAGTTTGGTGATTCCAGGTGTAGAACTTCAGAAACGCTGTCAGAGTTTGGTTATTCCAAGTGCAGAACTTAAGGAATGCTGTTAGAGTTTGGTTATTCTGGGTGTAGAATTTAAGGAATGCTGTCAAAAATTGGTAATTCCAGCTGCAGAACTTCAGGAACACTGCTAGAGTTTGTTTATTCCAGGTATAGAACTTCAGGAATGCTGTCAGAGTTTGGTTATTCCAGGTGTAGAACTTCAGGAATGCTGTCAGAATTTGGTTGTTTGGGGCCAGTGGTGCCTCTCTGTGCTAATCCCATTATTTAGTTGTTTATCTGTGGGGTGGGACAGCACAGGAATCCCAGTCAGAGCTCCCGGGAGGGTCTTTAGGCAGAATTCCTGCAAATGAAGTTTTGTGGGGAGCAGAGTCTGTTCCTGCCATCTGCTCCAGAAGGAGAGAGCAGCAATGGGAATACCCAGATTAAGTTTGCTTTTACACATGTTCATTTCTGCCCAAAACAAGCATAAAAGCAGTTAGGGGAATATGGATTAAAGGGCTGGATCCACAGTCTGAGCATGTCTGAAGTGAAAATGGCTCAAAACCCAGCTTGTGTGAATGAATTTCCCAGCACTGGGGAAATTCTGGAGCTGCCTGCTCACACAGCTCAGTGTGGAACATGGAGTTTAATCTGAGTAACACAGCAGTGAGAGCAACATCCAGGGATTACAGACAGGGAGCAGCAAAATTCCAGTTCAGCTTGTTATAAATGAAAATTTGTCCAGCCAAATTAATATGAAAAAATAAAATATTTATTTGCAATCCAATTCTATCTAGCCAGCCACAAGGAAAGAACAGAGCCGAGCCCGGGGTCGGCACCAGGAGTCAGCCTCAGCAGAGGATTTCCTCCATGCCCACACCTCCATCCTGGCACCAGCGGTTTTTATAGGGAAAATTCCTCCTGAGGCCAAGATTTCGGCAGTCAGGCTTTTCTTCCATTCAGAGTCCATAGGTTAATGAGATTTTCTTTTTGGTGATGAAGAAGAACAATTCAGTGTCAGGAGTTGGTGAATCCCTTGATGGAGTTTACGGAACGCTGCATTCACACGGATCTGCCCGAGGATTTCCATGAGATCCATCCCGGGTCGTTCACGCGGTGATCAGCGCCTGGGGTCCCGAATCTCTCCAGCCATGGGCCATCCCCATCTCCTGCCCAGCCACATCCTTTTACTCGTAAATCGGGTTCCAACACACACCAGGTTTGGGTCACTCCTGATACAAACGTGTACAGTCCAACAAATATTCAATATCACACATATCATACTGGAAATGGCACGAGTTCTATCTCCCACACATGAGAAGCTCTCCCAGGGCTGCCTCAGACCCGGCTGGGCAAGCTCAGGGTGAAGCTGCCGTGCCCTCGGCAGCACATCCCAGCTGCTCCTGCTGGCCACCCCTGCAATGCTGACCGAGGAGCAGCTCCCTGAGCCTGCAGCCCCTTCCCGAGGATCTGGTGGCATTCCCATGGATCCAAAGTTCCCCTCTGGGGCCTGGAGCTTTGGGTGTGCCTGGTTTTGGGATCACCACAGCCTCCTGTGGCAGCAGCAGGGGAGAGAACAGCGACTGAGGTTTTACCTGTTGTTGGACCCCTTCAGATGGTCTGGGAATGCCGAAACCATTCTGGATCCAGGGACAGGCACCTGCCTCCAGGTGATAACCCCAGTACCACATCCTGGAGCACCTGGCTCTGCTCCTGAAGCTGCTGCTTTTCCTGGGCAGGTCCAGCTCAGCTGCCCTCAGCCTCTCTGCAACCCACCCTGGGTTTATTTCTGCCCCTGCAGCCCTCCTGGGCTTATTTCTGCCCACTCTGGGTTTATTTCTGCCCCTAAAGCTTCTGCCCACTCTGGGTTTATTTCTGCCCCTAGAGTCCCCCTGGATTTATTTTTGCCCCTATGCCCACCCTGGGTTTATTTCTGCCCCTACAACCCCCTTGGGTTTATTTCTGCCCACTCCGGGTTTATTTCTGCCCCTAGTGTCCCCCTGGATTTATTTCTGCCCCTATGCCCAATCTGGATTTATTTCTGCCCCTACAGCCCCCCTGGGCTTATTTCTGCCCACCCTGGGTTTATTTCTGCCCCCACAACCCCCTTGGGTTTCTTTCTGCCCACTCTGGGTTTATTTCTGCCCCTAGAGTCCCCCTGGATTTATTTCTGCCCCTACAGCCCTCATGGATTTATTTCTGCCCCTATGCCCACCCTGGATTTATTTCTTCCCTATGCCCTGGCTTTATTTCTGCCCACTCTGGATTTATTTCTGCCCCTACAGCCCCCCTGGCTTTATTTCTGCCCACTCTGGATTTATTTCTGCCCCTACAGCCCCCCTGGGTTTATTTCTGCCCACTCTGGGTTTATTTCTGCCCCCGCACTCTTTGGGAGCAGATTTCCCATCTCCAGAGTTCTCTACAAAGCGGGGAATGAGACCTTTTTACCCAGCTCCTCTCTGGGAGGGTGCTGGGCTTTGGGGCACCCTGGGTGCATCAGCACAGCAGTAAGAGAGGAAGAAAACCCAAATCCCAGTGCTGGGCAGGTTGGAAAAGGCTTTTAAATGCTCTTCTCACGCATTTCCATAGCAAGCAGAGAGAGCTGGTGAGCAGCTGTGCTTGCAGGCATCGGCACCCAACCCAAATAAATTCAGTTTTTATGAGTTAAGCATCCAAATGAAAAAGAAAACTCAGCATTTAAATGGAGCAGCTGAAAATCCCCCGCTGAGGCAAATGTTGATTCAGC